TATTTTAACTATCATTTTAGTTTTGTTTTAGTCATCAACCTATTATATTTTTTAAAATCACATTTAAAGTTACGTTTTGATTTTATTTTGGTCACCGTTGTTAAAAAATAACAAAATTTTGATGATATTAAAATATTCAATGACAATGTGGTATTATCCTATACTGACACATCAACATTATCATTATTTTTTTAATGGCGGATAACCAAAATGAAACTAAAACATAATGTATGATTTTGAAATAAAAAATAATTAGGCGACCAAAATAGAATAAAAATGATAGTTGAGATACTAAATATGTAGTTTACATTTTATTTTTTTAAAAGGTTTATATATATATATAATTATATATTTTTATACATTAAACGATCTTAGTATTAAAAGAAATTTTTTTCTTTATAGATATCAGTTCAAATAATTACTTCCGCATAGAATATGTATTTATTATTAATAGGTTAAATAGTTTAAATAACCTTTTTTAAACTGATTAAAAAAAGAATATTTAGATGAATTTTAACTCAATTAAATTTTTATAAAATTAATATTTTCTTTAAAAAATATATATTTTAATCAGATAAATCATTTCTAAACTTAAATCAAAATAACATATAATAAATAAAATATTTAAATCAAATTCAAATCAATCAAAACTCCACACCATACACATCCCTAATTTCCATCCCTAGTTGACATCCTAAATAAATCCACCAATAAATTGACATTTTGAAATCTAAATCCTACGTCTAAAAAGTAAAAACAATGGCAGATATATAGCAGGAAAAGATCCCACGCTGCCCCCTTCTTCTTTCGCCATTTTTTTTGCTTTTGAGAGAGCATTTTTTGTTTTTCAAAGTCCAATGGAGGGCTCTTCTTCTCAGCCCTACGATCATCATCAAACAGCGTCCGCTCCTCCAAGTTTCTCTCCAACCTTCCCTCTCGCGGCCACCTCTCCCCCGCCGTCATCTCCTCCAATCTGGTTTTTATCCATTTCTTCTCACTCGCTTATTTAATGAATTTCATTTCTTTTTAAAATGTTCTGGATCTTAATACGATTGGCCGTGAAAATGCGACCAGAAAAGGTGACATTTTTTTTGTTAAACAAAGTATTTATTACTGAAAAAAGGATCGTGGTTAGCTTAGGAAAATAATCTTTAAGCAGGGCCGAATGATTTTAGGTTTTTAAACCGAGGATTTAGGCTATCTTAATTAATGGATTTTATTCATGAATACTTCGTCTCCCAAATGGTATTAAGTTCATGTTTGGTTGATGGCTTGCTAGGGTTTTAGCGGAATATTACGAGTTAATGAGGATTCTATATTAATAAAATAAAAATGATTTGTCAAGGGATGTATTTTAGAATATGACCTTTTGGGTATTTGGAATTATCATTTATTTCGTGTTCCGTGGTAAACTTATTTTAGGGTTCTTAATTTCCACTTCGGATAATTTCTTGTAATTTGAGTATCTAATAATCGAGTCTACCAATGAAATGCAATGTCGTCTTTACCTATTTAGCATTCTCTTTTAAGCATGTATGCATTTCCATGGATTCATTTGATACCATACTAACCTATTATTTCTTCACTATATGTTAAGTAATGACTAATGAGGCTGTTGGTGACAGCCTGTTAGGCCCTCAGATTCTTATGCATTAGAAGGTTCGAGGATTTTGGACATTTTACAATCTTTCTTTATGGATATTACTATTCCGGGTAGAACGGTTTCCTCGTGGTTTTGTATTTCAATGGGGTCAAGACTCAAGATTCTTCTTCAATAATAGCTTTTTATTGTCTCAGTGTGTTATTATAGCATTTTCTGTTTTGATTACAAAGATGTTACCATATTATCCTAGAAGACTTTGCGGGCAGTGGAGCTCCCTTCCCATTTTGAGTTCTATAGTCTCCCTTTCTTTTGTTTCCCTGTTACCATGAACTTCTAGCTTATGCGTCCAGCCCCTTTAGCAGCTTAACTTATGGAAACACTTGCTATTTCTTCCATGGTTTCCCTTAAACATAAAAAAAACAAAACCTGTTTTTCAATCCCATTTGTATATGTCTTTCTGAATTTAAAACTCATTAAGAATGAATTATTGCAATCACCTATTGCTGCTAACAAGTTTGATGTATAACGCATCATTACTTCTTTTTTACTAATATCATCTGCTACATTTAGTTGGTATATCTCTTAGCATATTTGTTTTATTTTTTATATCTTGACCTGAAAAATCTTTTATTATGTTCTTATGAATAATTTATGGCATAACTGCATAAGTCATTTATATGTGTTTTATATTTCTTGGTATATCATTTTGTACAACATTGTTTCTTATATTGCAAAATTATGCAGGGAGGAATGCGACTTTATATTTGTGAGCACAACACGTCTCCTCCAGGTGCCTGTAAATTTCAACTTATTAAGTTCATTCAATACATTCTGAAGCTTGCAATTTTTTTAGTTTAGTATAATATATCAAGGGCCCTCGGCCAATACATCTGTGCTTTCGCAACATGAAAATCACTAGTTTCTGTTGTCAGTACTTCTATATTTAGTTTAGTGTAATTTCTGTTATCATTATGAAGGGCCATCTTTGGGTTCTTAAATCTACTCCATGTTTTTGCATTCGATTTTTGCATTCGGTACAGGTCTTAAAAATAAGCTGTAGGGAGCCATTTGATGACTACCATATGAATGCAATCTAGTTTTTGTAAAAGGGGCTTTAATTGGAATCTTTTCTAAGAAACAATTTTAAGGCTTGCTACTATTAATTGCATTTGGGACCCTTCATATTTTTATTTTGGGCATAATAGACATGTAATAGATATGTACTGTTGAAACTCATCTGTTTTATAAAAGTAATAAAGAAAGCGATTTAGAAGTTCATTGTAAATTAATATTTTGGAATTCATAGGAGCAGTTTATTTATGTTAGTCGTCATGTTGGAGGCTTGGAGCCTAATGTATTCATGATGAGAGTATATATAGAATATCTCTATCTATCTTAAGGAGATACATATACCTATATCAATATATCATCCTAACTGTAACTGATTCTCATATCTTTAGATGATATAAAAGTATTGGTGCCGGATGGTGATTAAATTGCTACTATGATTTAATATGTTACTGAATCAGCTTTTATGCATAAATGTAAGAAAGTAGACCAAACATCAAATGTCTATGTTATAGCCTACTGTTTATAATTTGAAGTTTTATATATGCATGCATTTTTGTGCTTGTTATCTTGTGGATTCCCAAGAAGATTATGACTATTACAAGAACATAGCTTTAAGATTCGTTCTTATTCACAAGATCAATATTCTTACTCGTACATCCAGAAAGCCAACATATAAAGACAAACCAACAAAAACATACTTATTAGATCACTCATGCTTAATGACAAGAAGGGTGATTCCAGTTCGAAGGACGTGAAATCTGCAGCTGAGGGTCCTAGAAAAAGGTATTAATTTCATCTTCTTGCTGAGACTATATTTAACATGTCTTGTTTCAGTTTATCTTATATATATTTTATCTTAACCTTCATTTGAGTATCAGGATTTAAACATCCTTTAGAAGCTTCATTCAGCCTTCTGTTTGTAGCAAATTGCATGGATGCATCATGTGCTTATCCATTCCAATAGATATCTAGAGAGAGGCATTGTATTGCCTTTGATCATGCCTGATGTTTGCCATTTTTTCCTTCTCAGGGCCGGTGAAAGAATAATGGATAGCAAGGCTTCTACAAAGAAAGCCAATACACAAAGTACTTCTCGATCGGGTTAGTCAATAGATGTATCCACTAGTACATATCTTTGTATAAATATGCTGCATGGTTCAATGTATGGGATCACCATTGTCAATGAACCAGAATGTCAGCACTATGGTCTATATCTGATATTTCATTTTACATATTAAAAATAAAAGTTTATGGTATAATCCCGTCCTTGCATTCTTTTTTAGAGTTAGTTTATGGTGGGAATATTGGTTTCGTTTTTCTAAAATTTATTATCGAGTTCCCCTAACGAAATTAAAATTCGCAGAGGGATCAAGCAGCCATGCAGCTGAGAGGGGCTACCATAGTTTGACTGTGGAGAGACTTCGTGCCCTTCTTAAGGAAAGAGGACTCTCACCCAAAGGAAAAAAGGCATGTTCCTGAGGCCTCAAATATTGTTTTAATTTAGTTCCTATTGGTTAATTATATTAGTGGTTCAAGAGTATGCAGCGATTCTTCATTTTCTGAATATATACATATTCCCATTTACATACTTTTGGCTAAATTTATGTTACTCGACCTGAACACAGTATTAGATACGGATATGCATTTAACTCACAATGATCTAATCACTATTAAATGCTGGGCCTATCTAAAGATGCATGGATTGTGCAGGATGAACTGATTGCGCGATTGAAATGTGGAAATGATTCGGCTCATAAGTTGGATTGATACTTAAACTCTCTCAAATGTATAAAGAGCAGGCAGAGCAGAGGTAAGTGAAGCAGGCCATTATGTTATGTTGGTTTTTGTGGAACTTGGTGAAGCGTCTGTTATGTAGTATAGTTCCTTTTTCTGTTCTTTTTAAAGACAATTAGAATATGATTAGAGAAGGGGGGATTAAATCAGAACCTTTATTTTTTGGTTGCAATATTTGTGTAATTACTGTAAGTTTATAAAATGGATTTAATTTTGCTTCCCATCCATTGATTTGTGTAATTAGAATATGATTTGAGAAGGGGGATTAATCATTTTTTTTGGTTTCATCGATCTTAATCTTAGATCAATTTTAAAAAAATTCATAATTGTTTTAGCCGACACAATTGACTTCAATTTATTATTAAATGTATATTTAAACCCAAACTCTATACTAATAATATAATATTTTTAATTAAAAAATAATATAACAATGTATACACAAATATATTTACTATATTATTTAATCAATAATTTATTATAGGTACAAAACAAGAAAATTTATTATTACCTGAAAAGCAAAAGGCATTAAAGCAACCATAAACAAGTCTGCTTAACTTCCATTACAATGTTCTCAGAGAACTAAAATGAGTTTTCATGGAACACCAACGTAAACAAATCACACAATCGCTTCACTGACTAGACTAATCTAATAATGAGCAATGATAATATATGCCTCGTCCTGACACCGGAAACTTTTTGCCAGACACCGGGGAGAACCACAACGATAACACCAGCAACTGAAGAAGCAAGATAAGGAGTCGAACCCAGTTCTCTCATTTCACGCATTGGTTTTGTGAAGCTACATTTGCACTTCCTCCAGACCATGGTAGACCTGGATGAATGCATTGTTTTGTATCTGCCAGTGGAACAATGGTCCAAGGAAGATACGCCATAAATCGAGTATTATCGTGACCAAGATTGCAGCGCCCAGAGAATCAATGGCTACCCGAGGTAGGTCCCATAGATCATCAGGTTTCTCATCAATCCTGCAAAATGGATAATCATCAAACTACAAGTCTACAACAATTACTACACTATCTGTATATAAAAGAAAACCGGCATCTGAAACTGGCTTTTCTTTTCATGCTTTACAGAGCTCAATCCGTTCAAACAAAATATCTGCAGCAAGTCTTTACTGCAATGGGAGGTACGTTATTCCGATCGAGATATCTAAATGGAACTGCCGAAACAAAAACATTTTATAAACAATGAATACGATTCCACACTTCCGTATAGACAAATAAACATAAAGTTGGATTAATTTGTTACCTCAGAAACATGGGGAAGCTCACGATGAAGTATATGGAATAAAACATATATCCCACTTTAACATGAATGCATGATCCACAAAATCATAATACGGGAACTGCACATATTCAACATAAAGTATCATCACTAGGCTAACTTCAAGATCCGCCACTGTTCAGACCCGAGACCAAGTGTAACATTCCGAATCAAAAGAAAACAAAGGCTCAAGGTGTGTCAAAAGCATGTAACCACTTTACCACATACGTCCGAAATTGCTGAGTCTCGAGATATGCTATAAAATAAGAAAGGGCCAAAATCCATGCCATCTCAGTGGCTAACTGAATTTTCTCGGGCAAGCCAGCAATAGAATGTCTTAATTTGCGAAGTGTCATGTTTGATGTAACATGGTAAAACAGGGAGACAACATGTGTGAGAAGGAACGTCCTGTGTGGCACCTGCAAAGAGTAATGGATTAATGGAAACGTATAAATGAAGTAGACTTGCACAGCCGAAATAGCATTTAGCCAGGAAGTCGGAATAATCATTATTATCTGTAGCTTACATTGTTCATTTTCCAGGATGGGAAAGTATAAGAAGCTCCTAAAACCGTGAAGAAATAATGGGTCCAAAAATAATTCCCCACATAACTAAATATTACAATCCAGACACTGGCCTGCAACAATGTAAAACAATTGAAGTTAAGACCAAGAATAACAAGTTGGAGACATAAATCATGGTCAGATCATTACAGGAGATTCTGGTGATAATGTCATGCTTGAGATCATAAAAAGTTGAAAGAAACCAAGAATAGACATTGAAAATTTACCAGCATGCGGAAAGCATTCTACATCTAATCATGTTACTATCAGTTCAGTCTAAAATATGATGCAAACTGTCCTATTGATCATTCAAAGAAGGAAATTAAGCAAATACAAGGTAGCATCGAATAAATGTAAAGATAAGAGGAAATTGTCCAACATCTTGGTAGTCCTTAAAAATCACAATACATCAACAACTAACGAGAATGCACTATGCATTAGCAAAAATCTGGACAAGCTAAGCAAATATTCCGGGCATCAACGATCAGTTTAACAAACATATAATATGTAAAATGACATCTAGTAAAACACTTGCCTTAACCCAATAACGGTCCTTCCAATGCAAGCTGCTGTCAGCCTGAGAAAGGAAGCAAGAGCGATAAATCCTCACAGAAAACGAGAAAACAATCATTTATGCTATATTTGAGGGTCTAAACACCTTAACTAAGCAACAAGAAATGGAGCCATAAGACCCTAAAAATGTCTGGCCCGGTTTCAACTAGCTAGTGAGGATTTTGAAAACCGGTACAAGCAATTCATGTTTAAAAGAAGCCGGTCATCAAAGTAATCAACCTCATCGTGACATGGTCTACTTTACAACTCTTTAGCGTACTCTAAACTATTTTCATACATCAGGGACAAGCTTATTTTCCTAATTATTTTCAGTTTGAATAATAAAGAATTATACAGATATTGATGATAACGGCTTTAAAAGGTCCAAAATGAGACAAATATAATATAAATGAGAGGTCAGTAGGTCACATGAGTGGAGAGCTTACCTTCCCAAAACTAGCATTGGTATCAAGAAAGAAGGAACTGCTGAAACCAGACCGAGATGCAAATATTCCAATTCCGTAAAGTTCTGTCAATGACCATGATTGGATTTTTAATCCTAAATTCAATTCTCAATCCAAAGTTGATCATAAACAAGTTAAAAGATGGAGAAAATAATCAATCACAGGTTTTAAGAACAGCCATCGATAAATCAAAAGTTAAACTTTAATCAAAGAACAAAGCATAAACAAAGGTGAAGAAGGGTGGTTCTGTTCTGCGGCGATAATTTAAAACAATTTTCAACCTAAAATGTTATCTTGTTCAACCTAAAAAGTTATACAAATTTATAACATTTTAAGTTACAACATTACAGTTGTTTTAGGGTTTACAACCAAAAAAGGTAAGCACCAAAATGTTATCCTGTCCAACCTAAGTTATGCTCTTGATAATATTTTCGATAGCAACCAATTTCTGCCGTTTGTTAACCTTACATTAAGAGTTGTATTTTAGACTCTCCCAAATATCCATGAATGCCACTGTCAGTCAACAGCGAATCATCCTCATCCACTTTAGCAATTATACTAAGCCAACTCGCATTTCTCCATTTACCCATACTCTCATTTAAATCAAATTGTTCACCAATGTAAAAACAAACGTAATTAATCGTGAAGGCAAAAAAAAAAAAAACCATAAAGAACAGAATCTCATTAAACCATTTGGCATGTGAGAAAAAAAAACCCTTCGAATTCATTGTTAAGAAAAGATCGACTAAATACAAATCGGGAGCAAAGAACACAAAATGTAATAATCAATGGAAACAAACCTCGTAAAGTTTGAAAGGAACGACGATGCCCAAAGAAAGAGTGAGCCAAAACGGAGTGTACAGAGAAAGAAAAGCTCGCCCCATCTCTTGCTTGGATTGGATGCCAACCATAAACTTGAAGGAGGAGGAGGGGGAGGATTACCTGATTTCGCAATTTTCAAAATAATGGGGGTTTGGGCTCTATGATCAATGCACATATATTAGACAAGAAATTGGGTTAAAGATAACGGATTTGAGAGAAGAAATAGAAGTGAATTTTACCGCCCATTAATAATTTCTGGGTTTAAGCAAACTGGGATTGGATTTGGTGAAAAGTGTGTGATGTGATTAAGTAAAAGCCTAAAAGGATGCAGCAGATGATGTGTTTATTGTTTTGACTTTCTGTTTTCGTTTACTTATATATTGATCATTTATTTATAGTTTATTTATTTTAACTTTGATGTGTTTCTTTTGTTTATTTGTATTCTGGTCACCATTTTTTTTGTTTTATTGCATATTAACCACTAAATTTTATTTTATTTCACTCTAACCATTGTTTATTTATTTATTTATTTATTGTTTCTAATATTCTATTCGACCTTGCGGTGACCCAATCCGGGTTACGATCCACATTATTATGATCCGAACTCTGCTAACCACTAATTTTTTTCTATTTTTATTTTTATTAATTTGTTTGAATTAATATTCGACCTTATGGTGACCTGATCCAGAATATGATCCACATTATTATGGTCTAGACTCTGTTAATCCCTAACCGCTAACTTTTTTAACAACTAACATTTCTAACTACTAACCACTAATTGTTAACTTTTTTAATAGTTAACATTTTTAGCTGCTAATTACTAACCTCTAACCTTTTATTTATTTGATTGTTTTATATTACGTTCAAACCATGTACGACCTTGCGACCTGAAACTCTATGATCAATGCACATATATAAAACAAGAAAATGGGCTAAAGACGACGGATTTGAGAGAAGAAAAAGAAGTGAATTTTACCGCCCATTAATATTTTCTGGGTTTAAGCTGAAACTGGGATTGGATTTGGTGAAAAGTGTGTCATGCGATTAAGTAAAAGCCTAAAAGGATGAAGCAGATGATGCTAGATTTGTAGACCAAAGATACCCTCCTCTTCAATATTTATTGATTTTTGGGTAAACTATATGGATAGTCGTCAAACTTAAAAAGAATTTGCCTTTTGGGTTATGAAAACTTTATAAACTTATAATACAATTATTAATTTGTAGCTTAATATAAAAATAAGTACTTAAATTATGTCTAAAAATGTGCCTAAAAATTTTTTTCGTTAAAAATAGGTACCTAAAGTTTTCTCCGTTATCATTTTAGGTGCCCAGAACTCAGTTAAATGACACGTGTCATATTCCGGTAATTTTGAGAATTTTTATTTAAGATAAAAATAAAATTATTTAAAAACACCCTATTTTTTCAAATCTTAAAAAAACCAAAAAATAATTGCAATAATACCCATTATATATTATTTTATTTCAATTAAATTTCTATTTTTATTGAATTAAAATAATATTTTGTAATAAATATATTATTTCGGGTCGGGTCGAGTTTGAATTTTATCTCAAAAAATCGGGTCGGGTTCAAATCAGGTGGAAGGTGTATATTTTTTGGATTGGGTCGGGTAGACCGAAAATCCAACCCGACTCGACTCATGCTCGTCCCTAATTTTAATCCATTTACACTACTGGCCACCACCAACGCCGTCAACCGACTGAACACACACGACGTGTGACCGACCAACCACCCGTGACAAAAATCCTCATACTTTCATAACCGATCGAACACTAAATCCCCCTAAATCTATAAATTTCTAAACATAAATCCTTAAACCTAATACCCAATATCATAACCCAAAATTATTATTAAATTTGGAATTGCGCTAGGGAAGGGATAAGGCGAAGGAGAGGTGGACTACGTCCGAGAGGGGATTGGAATTGTGCAGGGGAGGGGATGCGACGAAGGAGAGGTTTTTATTTTTAATTAAAAATATTTAAAAAAAAATAAATTATCAAAATTATCAGAAGATGACAAGTGTCACTTAACGAGGTTTTTAACAGAGGTTAACGTTAGACACCTAAAATGATAAAGGAAAAACTTTAGACACCTATTTTTAGCAAAAAATTCTTTAGGCACTAAAACATTTTATGAGACATAATTTTGAAATTGTCTTTGTTGGTCTATATTTGATTAATAGTCATCAGTCTCTTTTTTCCTCTGTCATCAACGTACGATATCATTTTTATTATCTTCATTTTTAGACAGAACCGTCTCATATATTTTCGAGACCTTAAGCATAAACTCAAAAATAAACTCCTTAAAATTAAAATATATTATATTATTTTGAAGAATGATTTAGTATTTCATTAATAAATAGTATACATTTAATTAAATTTTATCAAAAATATTATTTTTCATTATTTTATAAAGAAAACATCTTAAAAGCAAAAAATACCTTAAATTACGAGAAGACGGAAGAAATGTGGATAATAAGGGAATAACTTTTCTCTTTCCTCTAGAGTGAGTGTTCGCTGGTCGCGCCTAGGCGGTGCACCACCACCGGTGGCCATTTCGACTGTGTGTGTGGAGGGGAGTTTGGTTTCGCTCTAAGGTCTGTTTGTTTGAGGGAAAATCAATTACGAAATTGGTTTTCCCCGAAATCATGTGTTTGTTTCACGTAATTCGTTTTATGGAAAATGTTTTCCTGTGTTTGTTTCATGTAATTTGTTTTCCGGAAAATGTTTTCCAGTGTTTGGTTGGAGGAAAATTGGTTGGTCAATGTAAAATATTTTCCTGGTTAACAGAATTTCCTGTGTTTTCTGGAAAATGACTTACGGTCTGATTTTCCGTAAGTTATTTTCCGAACTTTTCACTTCAAAGAATAAATACTCAAAATAATTTTATTTTATGAATTTAATATTAATAAAATATTTTAATATCATATTAATCAAAATATTAATTATTAAATTATTTATTAATAAAATAAAATATTTTTAATTTAATAATATATACTAAATTATTAATAAAATATATATTATTTATTAATTTCATAGAAATAATATTATTAATAATGAATAATATTATTTACATATTTAATATTAATATAATAATCTAATAATATTTTAATAAAGATATTTAAAATATACTAATTAATATTTTTAAAATATAATATAACACTATTACTTTAATAAATAATTAATAAAATTTATAATATTTTTATTTCAATAAATATACTAATATTAATATTTTTATTAATAAAATTATAAAAAAAATATTTAATAATAAATAAATTATTTTAATATTTTAAAAATAATAATATTAAGTTTTATGATAAATAATATTATTTATTTAATATTTGTAATAAATAAGTTTTTAAAATACTCATCAACTAGTGGAAAAAAGGTTTAAACAACATCTTCCAAACATCGTAAAACATTTTCTATGTGTTTTTCAGAAAAATGTAATTCATTTTACGGAAAACATTTTCCGGAAAACGTTTTCCAGAAATGTAATTCATTTTCCATAATTCATTTTCCAGTAATTCATTTTCCAGAATTCAATTTCCAGAAAACCAATTACAGCCAAACAAATAGACCCTAAGTTCAATTCGGTTTTCCTTTATGAGAGGGAGTCTCGGGTTCTAACCTTGGGAGAGTTTGGTTCAGTGGCCACTTTTGGTGGTTGCCCTTGAGAGTGTAATCGCCGTTCGTGGCGGTGGGTGGTCGGCCATGGCCATTTCAGCCGAAACTAGAGAGGAAGAGATAGGAGACTTTTAGGGGTGATTTTGCTTCGGTTGTGTGCTCCCTTGGTTACCCGTGTCGTAACCAGAGTTTGGAAGGGCGTTAGCGGTGATGCTCGGTCGCCGTTCGGCCTTGCGAGGGTTGAGGCGCCGGCGTTGGGACTTAACTTTAAGCCTCTCGGCCGTGAGTAGAGGAAGAATGGGAGCTAAGATATCACGTGTTTTTTCTGTTTAGTTTAGGTGGGGGAAGTGTTTTCAAATTTTTTAGGTAAATTGCATATAAGTCCTCCCCATTTTTGCTTGTTTTATGTTTTGGTCACTTGTTTTAGGGGATAATCACCCATAGGTCCCTCCATTTATGCCATGAATTTACACTTTAGTCACTTGATTCTATGCCTTTATTTATTTATTTATTTCAAACTTGAGCATATCAATTTTTTTTATATTTTAGTCATTTATCTATAATCTAGTTATTTTAGTTTTGACTTCCTATTTTCGTTTACTTATATATTGGTCATTTATTTATAGTTTATTTATTTTAACTTTGATGTGTTTCTTTTGTTTATTTATATTCCGGTCACCATCTTTTTATTTTTTTATTTTTTTGTTTTATTGCATATTAACCACTAACTTTTATTTTATTTCACTCTAACCATTATTTATTTATTTATTTATTGTTTCTAATATTCTATTCGTGCTTGAGGTGACCCAATACAGGTTACTATCCACATTATTATGATCCGGACTCTGCTAACCACTAACTTTTTTCTATTTCTATTTTTATTAATTTGTTTGAATTAATATTCGACCTTGTGGTTACCTGATCCAGGATATGGTCCACATTATTATGGTCTGGACTCTGCTAACCCCTAACTGCTAACTTTTTTAACAGTTAACATTTCTAACTACTAATCACTAATTGCTAACTTTTCTAACTGTTAACATTTCAAACTGCTAATTACTAACCCTTAACCTTTTATTTATTTGGTTGTTTTATATTATGTTCAAACCATGTACGACCTTGCGACGACCCTCCCGGGGTACGAATCACATTATTTATGGTCCAGGATAAATGATAAACTTGACACTAACATTTTATTTTTATTGCATTTTATTTTCGTTATTTAATTTCATGTAGTTTTAAATTTATGCCTTTTACTTTATTTATTTAATTTCAGTCCTTTAATTTCATTGCTTTAATTTTCTATCTTTTTACTTTTTTTCGATTCTTTAATTTCAATCCTTTAATTATTGCTATTTATTTTCTGTTTATTCCATTTTAGTCGTTGTCGACACCATTTTTCGCCCGGGCGGGGAAAGATCGATACCGACTCGAGGTTTTCTCTTTGAAAGGAATTTTTGAAATGTGAGGAGTCACCACCA